CAATATAAATAAATGTGTGCTATATGCGCATTACATGTTTAGAAGACTCTCCCTAAATATGTTTATATTAACATTAGTCAATAAGTATATGGCATTACAGGAGTGGAAAATTACTTTCAAACATACCATGTAACGTCACTAAAGCTATTTTATCTTTTTTTGGTTCAACTATGTCGTCAACTGCTTTCGGCATTTCTGAAAAACAGTATAAATAGAAATAAGATTTGTTATTTATAAATATTTACATTTATTACTAAATTTATGTATTAATAGTAATATATATATAGTAATGATTTCAAATACCTTTTACAGTTCCTTGTTTTTCTTGTTTATCATCGAGCTTATTGTCTATCTTGTTTATCATCACTGGTTGTTGTGTTTCTGAAAAGCAAAATAAAAAATATGTCTTTATATTTAATTTTCTAAATAGATTTTTACATTTTTATATTCATAAAACAAAAATTTTTATTTTCATAAAACAAAAAAGATATCTCTACATTTGCTTTTATATACAGTTATCATATTTTTTAATATTATCTTGCACAAAGTTATATTTTATCCTATAAGATATAATTCAAAAAAAATTCAAACTTTAAAGAAATTGAATAATATATCTTATTCAATTTCAAATGTTACGTTTTTTTGTAAAAAGTCGAATAAGATAACATTTTTTTCAACAATCAAATATGTAAATATTAATTAATGTAATACCTGTATTATTGTATTTCAATCCATCACTTTTTACGATATCTGTTACAGGTTTATATTCCAAAATTCTATCTGTACATTTAACCAATCTTCAAAAATATTGTTCATATTTGCAGTAACCTCGTTATTTGATTTTGTAGATGCTAAACACATAAATAAATAAATAAATAAATAAACATACACACACGCGCGCGCGCGCATGAAATTGTATAATTTACAAAGAGTTGATATTATTTATATTCTATGCATACATTAATAACAAACCTGGTTTAGTTGACAATTTCTTATTCGATAGGCTCAGTGAATCTGATATATATTTACTTTCTAGTATATAATGTGATGACATGAAAAATCTCTTCTTTTTTGGTTCATCTACAAATTTTCAAAATTATTATAACAGGTTTATATTTTGACTGTAATATATAAAATTTATTATAGATTAGACATGATATTATAGACTAGACACTAACGCGCTCACTATTCAGTTTTTCATCACTATATTTATTTTTTACAAAAACCAAACATATAATATAAATTATTATATACCATCGCTGCTCGATGTGTCGCCATAAAATTTTCGCGATTTTATAAGTCTTTTTTTTGTTTCCTTTGTTTGTTCCTGTATAACAATATTGTCATCTGACGCAGACATTTCGCTTACTGCTTTTTCAACAGTGCATTTGAATAATTTTCATAAGAACCCAAGCTCTTATTAAATTTAAATTCATCCCAATTATTACATGGCAACTGTTTCATATAAGCTTGAAAAAGTTTTTTAGTTTTTTTAAGCATTTTAAATGTAGACTGCCCAAAGTCTATCCATGTTTCTGGCTGTTATGCAATACGTATCATATAACAATACGTAAAACATCTGTAAAAATTTAAAACATATATTAATATAAGTAATTATAAAATGACCAACAATGAAGAGCTTACAAAATATTGTATATATTATATGAAGATATGTACAAAAAACAGTACTTAAATTTGTAGCATTGTTAATTTTATTAAGAAAATGTTACACTTAATTATTTTTATTTATAAGTACATAAAACAAGAAAAATAAGTAATACGTACGAAATTGAAATCTCTATTGCTAAGCATATTATTCCACAATTGTTATTGTTGATAGGATTATTTTAATTGGATGAAGAATGTAATAATGGCATGCAACAGCAAGAAGTTGGGTATTCAAACGGAAGTTGAACAGCTTTATTAACGATTTCTGTAATTGGCCACATCTGTTCATCCGTTGATATGAAATTTTTAATCACATATGTCCATATGTTGTGAGTCACAAGGATAAAATGACAACAAATTTTTTGTTAAAAACTTTTTTCCAATAATAACACCTATTCCCTCTTCGTTATAACAAATATGTTCAATTACGACAATTGTTTTGTCCTTGAGATAACAACAATTATTGGGTTTCTTATTTTTCAATTGAAAGTGCTGAATTCAATGGTGCAATAAGCATTGATACAATTCATTGGAGGAAGTTTAAAACATTTGTTTTTCAATATAGGTATACTGCTTTTGTTATAATCCGATTGAAGAACTGCGTTGTAATTTTCAGAAATTCTATTATATAATTGCTGTAGTGGTTTTTCGGCTTTTCTCAGCATTTTTTTTATAGCCTGCATGTAATTTTCGAAAGGAAAAGCAGAAAAATCAAATCCAATCATCCAATGGTCCAAACATCAGTACATCTTCATTAATATGAATTAAATTATGCACATTATAAACGATAGTTTCTTCATCGTATAAATATTTAAATATATGTACAAATTCATTCAGTAGATCTTTGGTGTATTTATTGTTATGAAAACAATCTGTTGGATGACACAATATCCGTATTGCACAATTTATTGCATTGAAATGAAATAAGTTATCTTCAGGCATAATATTTATCAAGATAACAGGTTCAAGAAAGTACAGTAAAAATTCCCGCAACTCTGTCGCTTTCCAATATTTTAATTCGTCCAGAGAACGTGGTTTTCGAGCAAACTCCTTCGGTACCCATTTCGACATTGTAATTAACTTTTCTGACAACTCTACTATTTTTCGCCCACTTAATCTTGATGTTTGATATCCACCAGTCCATAATTGCAAGAGTTTCTTCATAACTCCTAAACACACCAAGTGCATGTAAAGGAAACTGTGAAACCATTGGCAGTTGTATTGATTCGAAAGGAGATACACCAGTATCTCCTTTCTGTGATGTTCTTGTACTCTATTTTTGAAATTGTCATCAGTTCGAAGAGGTGCACTGGATTTCAAAAATAACATGTGATGATTAGAATAAGTGCCTTCTTGCATACACTTTCTACATCCAAAGAATCCATTATGACCTTTTGTACAAGTTACGAATGCTCTTGCAGGACTATCGCAAATTACACTTCTAATTAATACAGTGTATCTTTTCTTGCCGAAAATAAATCCTTTATCTCGGAGAATCTTATATTCTTCACAGAAAGGTGTTAACAATTTATCTGGAGAAGATGGTTTCTTGTATCCATGATAAGCATTAATTACAAATGGTGAAAATCTTTTGTCACCATAAATTTTACCTAATATTGGCCAAATTTGACTTTTACTGCTTTTTGATATTAGAAGTCCATCGATATTTAAGTCAATCAAAATCACATTATTGCTGATTATAAATTTTTTGCGTATCAATTATTCAATTAATGTTTCTTCTAGACCGTAATGAAAAAAGCTTTCATTATCTTCTGATACCTGTACCTGATACTATTTCTCGGCGTATTTAACAGCGTTTTTGCATCCTTAGGCAGATCAGTATGATCACATGAATGCAATTTATTCAATAATTCTGATAAACCAGTGTTAGTAATGTTATGTTTAAGTTTCCAAAAATGTAACCTATTTGAAAGATGTTGATTTTCATGAGTCTGTCCTCCAGTATTGTCTTTACTTTGCGGTTCAACAATAACGTGAATATCAGAATTAGATATAGTTGAATTTGGGTCGATAGAAAGTACATTTAAATCATTGTCTGAATTTCAATCAGATAAAGCACACTGTTTTTTAGATACAGTATCTGCTAGCGACTGACTTCTATCAGCTAGCGACTGTAAATTGACTTTGACTATAGGTTTGTATACAATTGGTTGTCGTTCCTTTTTTTCGTACGCTTCAAGACGTCGATTTTGTTGCCGTAAAGATAACTGTCGAAAATTTTTCGGCATCTGTTAATACATTATTATAGAATAGTGTTATATATTTAAATTATTTATGTATTATTATATACAGAATTGGGAGGTCACACGTTAAAATAAATGTCCCAATAGTTGAGCATGTTTCTAGTATATGAACATTGCAATAAATATTTATAATTATTAAGCTATATATATTATATATTAGTCTATATATGTTCTATTTTATATTATATATACAAAATATATTAATATTTAAAACTTGCATTTTTCAATATTTATTAAAAAATTATCTTCAAACATTGGAAGAAAAAAAAATTTATAAGCTTGAAAAAATTATTTTTATAATGACTGTCTACTTATATCTATTTTTTTAATGATCTAGTTAAGACATACCATTTACTACTTAAGAGTATATTTTCTATATAAATTATGCTTTTATAAAAAAATAAAAGCTATTTCAACTCATAAAAACATCTATTATTAAAGTAAACTCTTTCTTTTATTAAATAAAGTTATGTAAAAATAATAAATTTAGTATATATTTACTAATACTCAAAAATTCTGAAAGATATCTATTAGATTCGGAAAAAATTAACGGAGACCGACTGGATTTGAACTCGGGATCCCTCGTCTACCAATCCGACACTTAGTCTGCACGACCACGACGGCTCCTCTCTGTTAGTGTTTATATTCCGAATCTCTTTCATGATCGCTTACGGTCGTCTAATTCTTACAGTTCGGCCATTCTGGTATTACATTCGTCCCGAATGTACCGAGTCTTCCTCTATCGGACTTTTATCCGAAACTTGGAGCTTCTGCTCCCGACCTCGATCACTTCTTGAACGACCGACACGACTCCTTTGGAGTACTACTCCGCGACTTTTTTCCGTTCATTTCTCTTGAATGACCGACACGACTTTGGAGTACTACCCCCGACTTTTTCCGTTCACTTTTGAACGATCGACTTGTCAGGTAACATAGGCTGAATCTT